GCATTTGTTGGTGCCTCAGCATGTAGTCCCCTAGACATTGCGGAGGAGGAAAGATTGAGAAACCGATGTTGGTTAGAGGCTGCTAGTGGAAAATACAAGGGACATGTATACGACATTGGAAATGTCGGTTCCCAAGATGACTGTATCAATAGTTACATCCAACAGACACAAACATCTTCTTCTACTCAACAGCAAAATTCAAAAGAAATTTTTAACCTCCGATCACAATTACAACACCATAATCAGGCACCCAATGATGTCCAACCAGAACAACAACCTCCAGATCAACAACCACCAGATCAATAACCACAATACGAAAATGATTATTATAGGGATTATTAGGCATTTTATAGAACTTATATCCATTGCTCTTGAACTTATTTAGAACCAGAACCAGTTTATGAACTTACCTAATGTTTACAACTTATTTATTATGTTCCACTTATATTGATGTAAAAAATATTTATGTATTCATGTACAATGCTTCTTTGTGGATTAAGTGTATGTGAAATGTTTGTTGGTTGATTCTATATGTCAATGAACAATGTATAATGTCCAAGTCTGGTTGTGTGAATTGTGCATGTTCATGGGTACTGCTACATGCAGGACACTTATTTACATCCTCTGATATCATTATATATAGATATATCTGTATCTAAGTATATGGATAAACATATATAAGTTATATATGGATTTGTCCGTATATAACTTATATACAGATATTTCTGTATATAAATTATATACGGATATATCCGTATATAAGTTATATATGGATTTAGCCATATATAACTTAGCAACGACAATTTTATATACGGATTTTTGCTTGTATGTAAGTCGTATGTAACTAGGTATTATATACGAATTTTGGGCCTTATATACGGATTTTGACTATATGTAGTTCAATTTTTTCTTGTAATGTACCCGTTGGATACTTGCAGATATTTTAAAAAAATTATTTTATAAAACTTAGAGTTGTTAACAAGTCAAGTCCCATTCCAACAAACTGCATTCCTTTAAATAAAAGAAGTGCAGTAACTAGTTCATCATTATGCTCATATGCCACTATTATAGAATTCCAAGACACCACATCTCTCACCTTCATGCCATTAGAAACTGTCAGATGATCCTGCAGCCTACCAAATTGTGAATACATATTAATTAAAGCATTGCAAACAAAAACATCACTTTCCAACACATGCTTTATCACGTACAAAATGAACCAACATCCCACAAATAACATCATTCACGTCTGCACAAACAGGAAGCACACTTGCCATCATAACTGTATCCATCTTCGCCCCTTCAAGATTTATCTTAACTAAAACACCCAATGTCCTAATTGCTTTCCCATTCTAAAGAAACCCCAAAATCACCACGTTCCAAGACCCTACATCTTGGACGAGCATATCATCAAACACCTAGTGGGCAACATCCACAACATTAAACCTTGAATATAGATGCATCAAGGAAGCAACCATATACATATCATGCTCAATCAAACACCCACCCACTCAAACACGATTCAATCACTAGGATACACATTATGTTATTGGTATTAGGGTTCAATCACTACTCATGGAAAACTCTCACCCACCCACCACTCAAATATGATACGGGAAAAATAAAAAATAAGAAGAAAACTTAATAGGAGTAAATCTCTAGCACTTGGGCGAAAAAATGCTTACTTATTTTTAAATCCCTAATATAGAGTGAAAAATGCTTTTCAAAATCACTAATACAAAGAGGGCATTGAGGTCTCGCTTTCAACGTCATAATACAAAAAAACCAACATAAAAAATAATTCGTGGCATTTTAATAAATAAATATTGAATTTTGATGTCAAAATTTATACTTTTCCGACATCATATGGTCATTAGATGTCAGGATTCTCAATTTCCAACGTCATATTAGGGAAATTTAATGTAAATGTTTGCGCAAAGGTGAAAATGTACCCTGTATAATGTCGAATGCCCTAGTTTCAAATGTCAAAGAGCTATAAGACATCGAAATATCACTTTGTAGACATTATATGTTATTGAATTCATTAAAAAATTGGGCTGGAGGATGAAAATTTATTCACTTTATCTTTACATGAAACCTTCTTCTCTACTCAAACCATTCTCGGACGAAGCTTTCATCAATCAGCACATGTAATATTTCTTTCATTTTACACAAATACACATTGATTAACTACTTTAGGTTTGATTTTCTTTCATTTTAACCAATTGATATCATGCGCAAGTACTTTTTAGAGCAAAGACGTGTTCTCCTTTCTCTTTCACTAGAGGCAACACCTTATTATGGCGGCGAACCCCCTTCAAGAAGGTTAGTTTTGTTTTGGGTTTTTGATGAACTTTAGTTTTCATTTTCGTTTTTTATGGGCTATAAATTGGTTGACCTTGTTGATATTGTTAAACTTGTTTGTTGTTAATACATCGTATAGATATAAACTTAGGGTAAAACTGAGAGTATATTCAAAAAAACTTCAAATGACCTAAAAATTTGTTCAAAGCACCAAAAAATCATGATGCCTTCACAAAAATTTTGAAATCAAAATTTATGGTCTAAGTATGTGAAATAATTTTGCAAAGTTTGAAAATAACAAAATAAATTGACAAAAAATAAAAAACGATCTTCTTTTAAAAAGCTAGAAAGAACAGCCGACTATGCAAGCTGCCGTGGTATTGAATTTTTTTCTACCCTAAATCGATATATAATAATGCTAAATTTGTCAACAAAAGCAAAAGTTATGGTTGTGTAAAGATTAGCAACAACTAACTTTTCAAATAACTTTTAAACTTCAGACGAACCTAAAATAAAGTGGGCTTTCCCTACAATAGGGGTTCCAAGGAGTGGTAAAAAAATTCCAACTAAATAATAACTCTAGCTATTAAAACCAAGAATCACAAGTAAATAGTCAGTATAACACCATTCACTACTACTACACCACTACTAACATACATAGTAAGGATTGAAAAAATAACAATTCTTTCTTCATTCTATGGGTGATGGTGAAAGTGCATACAAATATGTGCTAGCCACATTTCCATGCACTAGTAAATAAATCGGTTTTAAATCGGCCCTTATGCTTCTATTTCTCGAAAATCGAAGCGTATAAAAACGTAGTGGGAATTCTTAATCTTTGCTACACTATATGTCTCGGTTCCAAAGCAACCGATGCCTAAGAGGGTATACTGCCTCGGTTCCCTGAATAAGCGAGGCAAAAAACCCTGCTGACCTCACTATAAATTTGACTTTTCAACTGACAGCTTCTTCGAAGAAGTATATTGCCTCGGTTCCCTGACCAACCGAGGCAAAAAAAACCCTGTTGAACCCACTACAAATCTGACTTTTCAACTGATAACTTTTTCGAAGGGGTATACTACCTCAGTTCCTTGACCAACCAAGGTAGAAAACCTTGCCAAATCCCTCTACAAGCTTTGATTTTAACTAACAAACCTATAAGAAATACATACTGCCTCAGTTGGGAGAAGAACCGAGGCAGTATGTCCTGCTAGAAGCTGACAACCTCTGATTCAGGATGTTATAAATCCATTTTCTCACAAGCTCTACTGCTTCAGTTGCCTTTTAACCGAGACCATGGGTGGTTTATGCCTCAATTTAGCCGAGAACCAATGCCAATAGGTATTAGAATTTTATTTTCAATATTTTCTCAACGGTTTATGCCTCGGTTGTATTTATAATCGAGGCAGTAAGTGTGTTACTGCCTTGGTTTTCGATTGAGGCAAAAAGCCTATGACTTTTTGCCTTGCTTGTATATGCCTTGGTTCAAAAATTGAAGCGTATTGTCAAAAACAACAGCTGTCATTTCTCTTCGCTGCAATAGGGATGGTTTTTCAGGTTTTTAATTGTGATAGCTTTAGTTTATATTAGTTTATACAAATTTGAAAATGAGTTATGAATATATGAAATGTCAAAACTGGGTTACAATTGTTGGTTTTCTGCTTTTCAGGTTCGGTAAAACTCTAAAACGGATTCATTTATTAAAAAAAAAACAAAGCAAGAACGTTTGGAAATGCATTTTTAGATCATTTGACTCATTTGATGTCAATTAATTAACGTGAAAAATGGTCATTTCCAACGTTAATTAACCACTGTAAATGGTCATTTCTGGCGTTAATCAACATCTTCCACTATGACGTCAATGTTTTACAAACGTTAAATATTGAAATTAACATACGTCAAAACCATTTTCGCACTAGTGAATACTTCTCTGGCATTCGGACGGTGGCATAAAACAAAAATAAAAAGAACCTCACTAGCAACTTAGTATAAGCTAATAAAGATAAAAATATAATTTCATTTTTTTAACCGTCACCAATATCTACAGGTACGAATAGTATGATACCCGATCCTAACCTGTTAGTGAACGAGTATAAATTGCCCGTTATCTACATATACCTATTATCCGTGAATATCAATTATCCACAACAAATTTTATTGGTAAACACCCACAAGTGCATATATTTTTGTCATCCTTACTTTTAATCCAAAATCTTTAAATTATTGATATCTTATTCCTTATGTTCAACTTTTTTTTACTTTTATCCAATATGAAATTTTAACTAAGTTGTAACACTAAAATTTTGTTGTTATTAAGGTTTCAGATAAGCGTGATATTTTGGTTAATTCTGTGTACGTCTCCTTACAATTTCACTTATTATATATATATATATATATATATATATATATATATATCAGAGATCTCGTTGCAAAAAGAGATTCAAAAGAAGAGGCCAAGCCAGGTATATATCAATGCTAATTGTTTAATAGTCAAAGTGATAACTGTAGCAAAATGCGGAGAAAGAAAATACTAATTTAAAGAAAAGCTAAATAAAATTAATTAAAAACTTGCACATGCCGATTAACAAGGGATGGTCCCAAAGATAGATTTGATATTGGCAGAGGAGAGGAGGTAAATTGTGTTGGATATAAATATTTAAAGTCACCTCTTAGCAATCTCTTCCAAAAACGTAGAATACAGGTTCTAAATTGCAGTAGCATCCTTAACATAATATCAAAAACCACAAAAGCTGCATTTAAAACCTTAACATTCTGTGTTTTTGAGGTTAGAGCTGGTGATCAATCACCATGGCTACGGCGAAAGCCATTTTTTTCTTAGGCATTGCTTTGCTATCTTGCAGTTTGATAGGTGCATCGCGTGGCCTTGAGAATCGCCGTAGTCTCTTGCTTCCAATTCTAAATAATGATACAAAAGTTTTTGACGTCACAAAATTCGGTGCTGTGGCAGATGGCAAGACAGACAATGTTGATGTGAGTTTAATCTATTTCATTTACCTTTCTAGATTCAACCAATTCTTTACGAACTCTGTCAATAACTACATGCATATATGCTCAAATATAATAAACGATTGATTGAAATAATGGAACAGATTATATTTCTTAAAGCAGAATCTGTTGCTGTAGCGAGAATATATATAACTTCTCTTATTGTCTGAAACCTCTCCTTAGGCAAAGTTTTTTTTATCAAGAGGTTTATCATTACATAGGCAAAACTAATTTCACCTCTTCTCTAATTTCTTCTTGAATAAAATTATGTATGATGGTTATGTGCTTTTTCTTCCGAGTGAAATTTAGTTCATAGCAATGACTGATTTATTATCACAATAAATAATTAAAGTATTTTGTTTTTTTCTCTAAAATATTCAAAATACTCTCTTCAATCCAATTGCTTGTTGGGTTACTGAGCCAATCGAAATATATTCCACCTCTACAAAAGACTGAGACACATTGTATCTTTTTTGCTAACCATGAAAAATACTATAAGAAGTGCTTCCATGCATCTTGTCCAATCACTATCACAAAAACCAACTAACATTGCTCTGGTTTTTTGTCACTTTCTATCCCATAGCTCAGGGTGCCTTGAATGTATCTTAGCACCCTTTTTCTTGCACCTAAACAAATATGGCTTGGATAATTCATGAACCAAGAACAAAACCTATTGCAAACACGAAATCTTTAATTAGTAAGATAAAATAAATTACCAAGCAGACCTATAGTTGTTAGGATTAACTTTTCTTCTTCCATCTTCTTTTCAACCTTTCATTCACTACCAATGCTGTATCAATTGGATTACACTCAAACTTTTCAAACTTTTTCAATATTTTCTCAGCATATTTCTTTTTTTTTTCTTACAAAGTCTCCATCATTATCTTGATGAATTTTTAATCCATGATGCAACAAGCCTAGATTGTCCATCTCTAATCTCTCCAACATTTCAATTCTAAAATCTTCAATCGTCTTTAAGTAAAGACTAAGTCATCCACATACAACATAACAAATATAAGATGTCATTCCTACCTTGTTGTTTGACATATAAGATATGCTTATTCTTGCTTTTCTTAAAATCATTATCAATGAAATAGTTCTCAGTCATGTTATATCATACTCTTGAAGATTATTTCAACCTAAAAAGAACTTTATACACCCTATAAACCTTCTCTTCTTAGCCTTCAGTGAAATAGCTCTCGATGTGTTGTTATATCATGATCCTGAAGCTTGTTTCAACTCATAAAGAACTTTCTTCATTTGTAAATTATCGGTAATATATTTGACAATATATTTTATTTGTAAATTTTGTTGATAAATTTAGTCGAAAATTTATAATTTCTATTATTAACACATTTTTCTGTTGATAAATTTGTTAGTAAAGTAAACAACAATTTTTTTGTCAAGTTTGATGATAATTTTTTTGTATATTAATGAGAAATAAGTGAGAAGAAGAAGAGAAAGAGGAGAAGCTATGACAATGGCAATGATGTGACAAATATGTGGTGATGGGAGTTGGAGGAAGAGAAAGAGAAAGGGGAAAAAAAAGGAGAAGAAGAATGGAAGAAGAAGGAGGATTCGTTGGCGCAAATGCGACATTGGATGCGATAATGACAATGACAATGATGATTGAAGGGGAGGAAGGTAATGAGGAGAGAAAGAGGAAGTAGAAGAAATAAAGGAAAAAAGAAATGGATAGATTAGGAGAAAAAAAATTAAATCATGATATTTACCTGTAGTTAGAATCGGTATATAATTATCGATAAATATTTATCAAAAAATATTTATTAACATATTTTTTATATTACCAACAAGGTGTGCTCATCGATAATTAATAATTTTCTTGTAGTGAATGACATTTATCCATGCCAATATGCAAAAGTCTATTCAAAATCAACATTAGGTTGTTGTGAATAACACTTTGCAACAAACCTTACTTAATTCTTTTGGATTGAGTCATCCGGGTTATGCTTCACTTCGTATACCCATTTCACACTAATAGTTACTTTGTATTTGATTTCTTAATCAACTTCCATATTTTATTATTTTTAAAATGAATTCATTTGCATAACCTTCTTCCAAACTTCTTCTTTAGTTATCTCTTCAAATTTTTCTAGTTCTACAATATAATAATTGTAACTTGTATAAATATCACTCAATCCTCATTTCATTTAGAGTTGATGTTGGAGATGAGGAAATTTTTTTTAAACAAAGTATATACATCTATATATATTGGACCACTTAGGATGCTCCAATCCATATACAAAAGATACTTACATTGGTCCTTGCTTATGTCTCCATAAACATGATTAAAACCTTTACATTTGAGATCAAAATATCCCTATCCTATACTCATTTAGTATAGTCTTGATATATACATGAAAACAAATGATGAGAATACAAAATATTAAATTAACTCATTGATGTGCAACATCAACCTTTAAGGTGTTGCTACTAGCATTGGCGATGCTTTCAAATTGTGCATATTAATTAACGTATTAAAAACTGACCAAACTTAAAAAATAAGTGTGACAGGTTTAGACAATGTGAATCACATTAAAAGTCATCTGGTTGTATACTTCACCAACCTGTTGTTAGTTGTAGCATTAGGAGTTGAAGATATTTCCTTTGGTTCTGTTTTATGTCAGTAGCTAGCAGCTTTGCTTTCCCAGGATCCTCTCCTCAACCCTTTTTTTCTCATATTCAATTTTCATCTATAGAAAAAAAAAACCTTTAGGCTCAATAGCTTGAGTCAAGGGTTAATTTTTTATCACCATGTCTTATATTTAATTGCTTTGTCTTACATGTGATGTTCATGTTATTGCAACTAAGACGAGGAAAAAAATACCTACCTAAAAACTATATACAATTGTCCCTATTTATGTATATGTGTAATGTTTTTCCTTTTTGTGACCACTATAATCTTACGCTTCACACTAGTGTTTTAATGTATTGTACATGGTTACCAATTGGAGTATCAGAATATAACTCATAAATATACACATCTCACATTATTCTTCAACCATCATTCTCTTTAGTTTTAAAACTTGAGCATATGAAACATATAAAACAAATTTAAGATGGTTCACCGTAGGTTTTTTTCACTCCATGCTTCAAATGGTGTCATGTTCTAACCAACCTCTGGTCTCCTTTCTCAAAACATGGACTTTGCAATGTCCATCATGGTTTACTTCTTTCTTTCATATACTCCATCACTTCTCAAGAATTTTATATATCTACCACTTTTTTTTTTTTGTTCAGTAGTGCTAAATGCATAAAATATTTAGATCTTTTCCTCATAAAATAAATCCTTGTCATGCGAGTAAATCAATAAATAAAATAAAGTATCCTTTTTCTTACCACGGGAAAGGGTATTCATTAGACCAATATATGTGTGCATTAATTTTAATACTTCTTTGACTCTTGCTTGTCAAGCATGTATCTTTATACACTTTATTTTGATTCACAATCTTTAACAAACCCAAGCACCATGTCTTTTGAGAAAGCAAGATAAGACCATTGTAATGTAATTTAAGTGTCCTAGCCTCCTGTGCCATGAACAAGAGTCATTTACTTTTGAATCAATAATTTTGCATTCCTAATTCCCTAATTGAAGAGAATAATTATATATGGTTCAAAAATTGTCCAATATTTAATAAAGTTTCATCAATATAACAAATCACTTTGACTCCTTGCTTTGTGTGACTCCAATGTTACCTCTGCCTTCTACTTCAACACGTTCTCCATTTCATAATTTAACTTTTGAGGCAAATGAAGAATCCATATTACCAAAAGCTTCATTAATTATATCTGGTTATGTAATTGTTGTAACCATTCTCTAAATCTCATATTTTTATCTTCTTGAGTTTTTGCCTTCACCATAATATGCATCATTGAATCTCTTTCAAACTCATGTTCAAAAGTATTTTATATTTCCTTAGACTCTCATGATATTTGAAAATATGGCTAGAGACACTCCTTTTCTAATCATTCCAAAAACTCTAGCATCTACGATTTTCTTTCTTTTCATTGTTGCGTGTTGTTCATATTTAACGCCTTTAGTAGGTTATTGTCATATCATGAACTATGAGACATCCAAATATGTAAACAAAGCTTTCATTTTAATATTTAAAAATCATAACTTTCTCGTTAAAATAAATGAATTTACACATTCTTATAAACTGTGGTGCTCGAGATTGATGTGTAGCCATAGTACTTCACTCTGATTTTTACTTTTTTTGTTGTCATGCCACTTTATTGGGAGGTACAATATATTTTGTAGTGTTCAGAAAAATCTTTCTTTGTTTTAGAATTCTGTAAGACTACTCCTACGAAGTCACGTAAATACCATTGAATGATTTTATAGGGCATTGCTAGGTGCCCTTTTTAAAGGAGCTGTAAAACCCTTCTCAAGTGTTTCATTGAGTCTCTAAAATTATTTTACACATTATTTTGTTAATTTATTTATTTTTATTATGGATATAGATGTAAATTTCTATTCAATAATTTTAAAGTTCATAACTATATATGTCATGGAAATTTTACTTCTGTATCTTCCATTCTCAGTTGCAGTGGGATTGGATTGTTCCCTTTCCCTTCACAGGTCTCACCATCTATCTCAGGGGAGACTAGAGACAGATCTTCGAGACACCAAGCCCAAAAAGTACTTCTTGTGTACTCACTTTAGCTACAGAAGTTTTCTCCCTTCCATTGATCGTGGAAATTGTAGCTGTGGTCAAGTTTTCATGAAGCATTTCCTAGAGGGATTTGTCAAAGATGGGATTTTTATCATCATGATTGTCTGATTGTCATACACAACTCCGTGGACTATGCAACCTTTTCCTTGCTCAAGAATTTGGGAATAAAAAAATCCAAATTCAGTAAATGGTGGGACCGAGGAAGGGGCAGGGGACAGTCCAACCCCACTGCAACTAAGAATGGAAGATGCAGAAACAAAATTTCAAAGATATGCAATATTTTCCAGAACTTTGGGGTTATTAAGTAAAAAATTACATTAATATCCACAATAAAGATAAATAAATATATAAACGATGTGTACAGTGATTTCAGATGTCATGCATTCCATGACTGAAGACTCACATTGTAACAATGGCAATTTTTTAATAGTCCTGTGTAAAAATACGTTATTAATAAGCTCTTGCTTTAGAAAGAAGTAAAATACATGGTAAATGAACGAAAGTGTCGTACGTTAAGGAAGATATGTTTAAGGAATGATATTGTGTGGTTATATGCAGGCATTTAGGGCTGCATGGGGAGCAGCATGCAAGAACAGCAGTAGTCGAGCAAAGGTTTTGATCCCAGAGGGAACTTATCGTACTGCTCAAACTATGTTCGCGGGACCATGTAGTAGCCCAAAGCCTATAACCGTTGAAGTTATAGGAACTGTTAAAGCCAACACAGATCCATCTGAGTATGTGAGTCCAGAATGGTTCACGTTTCAAGACATTGATGGCCTTGTGTTGACTGGGAGAGGAGTTTTTGATGGTGAAGGCCCTGCTATGTGGCCACTCAACGATTGCAGGCAGATCAAAACCGATTGTGCTCCCCTCCCCTCTGTAAGCATCTTCTTAATGATAGTTTTCAATATACTTTCTTTCTTTTTCACTGTCAAGGATTAGTTACCACCACTCTGTAAAAAGACAGTGACCTCTCTGGTACAGACATGCTTCTGATATGGCTTGAATGACAAGTTTATGAATGCATGCAATGCAGTCTCTGAAATTCTACAAGGTGAACAACTCTGTGGTGACAGGCATCACTTCGTTGAACAGCATGCAGTTCCACTTTCACGTTCATGGCTGTAGCAACGTTTCACTGTCTAAACTCAACATAACAGCACCGGGAAACAGTCCCAACACAGACGGCATTCACATAAGTTCCAGCGACATGATCAAGGTCTTCGGCAGCGTCATCGGAACCGGTGATGACTGTATTTCCATTGGGCACAGCACCACTAACCTTACTGTCTATAACATCACCTGCGGCCCCGGTCACGGCATCAGTATCGGAAGCCTTGGCAAGAGGCCGGAGGAGCGAACTGTCAACGGCGTAACCGTTACCAATTGCACGTTCGTGAACACCACCAATGGTGCCAGAATCAAAACCTGGATCGGGACAGTGGCAGCGGAAGTTAAGAACGTTACCTATGAAGACATCATCATGAAGAATGTTCAGAATCCCGTTGTCATCGATCAGAGCTATGGCTCCAGATTGTCCAGAGCGGTAAGTAACTTAACCGTGAAATCGTGAAATTTATGAATAATTTCAAACACTGAAAGCTAAAGATAGATAATTTATGAATAATTTCAAAGTTGTTTAAGACTTGCTGAGAATATTTTTGCAATACAAGTTTCCTTCTTTACTTGTTTGTAAATGTTCAGCCATCAACTTCGGTATGGAAGATCAGCGATATTCATTTCCGGAAGATAAAAGGAACTACAGTGTCAAACATAGCAGTGTCTCTCCAATGCAGCACTCTGAACCCGTGCGAGGGTGTGGAGGTTGCCGATATAGATTTGGGTTATGCTGGTCGATTGAATACAACTTTCATATCCTCTTGTTCAAATGCAAAACCTATTTTTGGAGGGATATTGAATCCACCACCATGTTAGATTTTCCACTTTGTTTATACTTTAAGTAAACGAGTGAGACAATTTGTCACCGTTACACCATCAGTATTTATTTTTGGAAAATTTTACACGTACCTCTTAATTTTTTTTTACAGCCTTCCAACACCAATTAAAAATTAATATTTTTTATGGTTTTAGATCATTTTAGATTTTAATGTAAAAATATTATTTATTGGTGTTGGATGCGTGTGAAGGAAAAGATAAGGTGTTTGTTTATCACCACCCTATTTGTTTTTACCTGTAGTTTACATTTGCCAGCATGGAATGGAATTTCATCTTAAATGTGTACGGTAGATGCTACCCTTAATTTTTGCAACAATTTATAGTGAAAATAGAAATAGAATGATAATTAAGAATGAAACACCTTGTCTTCATTAGCCACAATTTAGGAAGTTAATATGAAACTTTTTTTCCTTTTTAATCTGATTTATCATTCCAATTTACGATAAGTCCAACCTATATTGTTTGTTATACTTACTTTGTAAACAACTAGAAGTGTAACGCGTGAGATTTTAGAAACTATATCTATTATATTAATTTTAATTTAAGTTTATAAAAATATAATTATAAATAAATATAAATATTTTATTTTATAAAGTTAAATAATAATATTTGGTTGTTTTTATGATGAAAATGTGTACAATGTTTATATTTGTTTTTAATAAATCATATTGTATATAATAATTTTAAATGATATATTAAAATCGAGTTAATCTAAGAATTTAAATTTAAATTTAAACGAAATATTAATTAGACAAGATAGAAAAATGTAAGCAGTAGACTTTTTAATGAAACAAAATTATTATTGGATAGGCTTTATAAAAATACAAATGTTACATTATATACAATAAAATTTAAATGCAAACAATATAAAACTAAAAAAAGATAAACATTGATATTCATGAGTATTTATATCAACTTTTAAACCGATGTAGATGTCACTAATACAATAAGTTTGATAGTATTTACATAAGTTATTAAACCAATTTAAAATCAAGAAATATTACATCTATCGTAATCAAAATTAATGTAATGTGTGTCTCTAAAAATCAACCAAATGTTTGTTGAAGGACATATTATGTCATTTCTTAGGAAAAATTGATCTATATTACATAAAAATCGATGTAATATGTTACTTTTTAGAGAGAATCACTACAAAAATATCATATTTTACTATAGGTTTATTTTCGGCGGTTTTGAAAACCTCATAATTTTTTACGATTTTCTTAAAATTGTAATTAAATTATAAATATTTTCTTTTAAAAAAATCATTTTTAGAAAAAACGTCATGTACGAATAAAATATTTCCTTCGCCGTTTTGAGTTTATTTCTTCTTCTCCACTTCAGAAAGGGAAAAACCTAAATCCACTGCTCGCGCCTTCGTTCCTGTGTTCTCTTCCGAAATCAAGAAAAGCGATGGAGTCAGAAAATGAAGGTCGAGGGGACCAATGTCAACCACTTGCAGCATTGGAGCGTCTCAAGGTCCGCCTCTGCGGAGGACGTCGATTCGATGGCACTGGGCACTCGTCAACAAGCGCCACAAACAGGCGCGCTCCTTCATAGTCGACGATGGAGGAATCGAATACGACCATGAGTAAAATATTATTAGGTTACTTAGCGAGTTTTTTATTTTCCTTTGCCGTCGTTTTGAGTTCATTTCTTCTTCTCCACTTCAGAAAGGGAAAAACCTAAGTCCACTACTCACGCCTCCATTCTCGTATTCTCTTCAAAACCCTAGGAGCTTTATTACACAATTACTTCACACCAGTCCGAAATCAAGAAAAGCGTTAGAGCCGAAAGACAAAGGCACTAGTGCAGAATTGGGATACCAATGCGGCTAATACGCCTCAGTTTGTAGAAAATTGAAGCATATGAAAATGCGGTGACATTTTTGCAATTTTAGCGAACTTATAGACATCGGTTCAAGGAGAACCGATGCATAATAGCTCTATTACCTCAGTTAAATAACCACTCGAGGCGTATAACCCTTCAGATCTGACTTAATTATGACCTTTCATATCACAACTTTTTGGAAACAGAGCTACTAACTCAGTTATCAGAAAAAACCGAAACACATAACGCTACAAAAAAGCATAAAGTAAAACGTAGCCTCTGACACCTTTTTGGTCAGGGTGCTACTGCCTCGGTGGCCTGGGGAACCGAGGCATATAATCTTAAATATTTTGAATGTTGAAACCTTTAGGCATCGCGTGAACACTTTCTTCGCGAAGAGTTTTCTTCTTTCTCTGCACTTTGCTCTCCACCACCACTACTCAGTCTCCACCACCGCTCGCGCCTCCCTCGTAGCGTCTCCACCACCACGTTCGTCACGCCTCCGTCGCCGTGGTCGCCCCTCCTTCGTTGCGCCTCGTCACCACTGCTCGTGTTCTCCACCACTGCTCGCCTCCCTTGTTGCTCGTGTTCCCTCTCTTCACTGCAGATTGGTTTATTTAAATAAAAGTTTATGACTTTAGTAGTTGCGTGGTGGTGAGGCGCTGCTTGACGACATTTGGCGTGGTGAAGGTAGTGCCTTTGGGTTTCGGTGTTTTTGATGATGGCGCTCCTACTGACCCTGGCGGTTGCCATGGAGATCTCGCCCACCCACCAACCGTCGTTGTCAAAGACGTCGACTTACTGGCTGGGAGTGAAGGAGGAAGCGGCGATGAAACGCGGCGCGGCGACTCTGAGTAGAGGAGATCGAGGAGCTGTGATTCTCTTCGGCGAGATTGGGCGGCGAGTTTCCTACTACAGCAGCACCATCTCTGAGGTCGCCAGCGAGGGACTCCGGCGTTATCAGCACTCGCACAGGTGAGATGCTTCATTGATGCAGCCACCTTTAGCAACATCCTTAACGGCGGTTTCAGTCAGGAGTTGTGACGCTGATGGCAATACTCGCCGACAACGTAGGTAAGGTAATAGGTTTGGGGGGTTTTTGGGTTTCTCTGTTTTATAGGTTTCGATTCACGCGCAATCCTCCTCTTCTTCTGGAATATCAATTTAGGCTTTCCTGAATTTCGGGGTCTCTCTTTGCCCATGTGAACATCCTTCGTGAATAAGAAATATGCCATGTTTGGTGTGAGTGGTTTTTGGCTTTTACTGTAGGTGGTTGGATGATTGATGGAGGCATTGCGTGAGGAGGATGATGAACTAAGTTTGCTCAGTCTCGGAGTGGACCTGCCCGACCTAGCAGTGGTGTAGGTCTTGGGCTTGCAATTTGTAAAAGGTAGGGGGAAACATCGAATAGTATTTTGAATTTGCTGCAGTCTCTCAATTCTCAATATGCTAAATGGATTTTATTATAGTAAGCGTAAATAATGATTGTCTTTCGTCTATTAAGTCTGACTCCTCCGCAAAATTGATTCAAATTTGTAAACCTCATGGGAGGTCACATATGGATTAAGAGTGAGGGCCCTAGAAAAGGAAGCATAGCTACATTTATGGTCAAAGTTGGGATTTGTCGCAATCCAGATCCGTCGGATCATCAAGCTACAAACAGAAGCCAAGCATATAGTGGAAGTGGTGGCCTCGCCAGATTTAAACTCTTCATCAAAGATGAAGATGACAGTGGTTTTTCTACTCGGCGCAATCAAAGAAGTTTCTAACATCCAAGACAGCAAAATTGCATACCTTCCATTTGCGATCTGGAAAAATGGATGTACCATTTGGAACTAAAAAATAAAAAAAAAAATAAAAACACTCTACTACCTCGGTTGTCTGTGAACCAAGGCAGAATCTGAACCCTTAACCGAAGCAAAAAGCCTACTCTTTTTACCTTGCCTGTATATGCCTCGGTTGCGGAACCGGTGCCTATAAGCAAAAATAATTGATGTTGTTTCCCTTGACTGCACTAGTGAGGCCGAGGGGACCGGTGTTCACTGCTCACAGCAAAGCATTGGAGCGTCTCAAGGTCTGCCTCTATAGAGGTCGACGATTCGATGGCACTGGGCACTTGTCAGCAAGCGCCACGAACAGGCGCGTTCCTTCATAGTCGACAATGGAGGAATCGAATACGGCCATGAGGGTGAGGAAGAAGACTGGTCTCAAGCCGAATTCACTCTCTTCTCCGATGAATCCGAAGGCGAATCGGAAAGGTTTCTTAGTAAAACATGATTACTATTATGTCATTTCACTTATTCTTTATTGTCCATGTGTCGTTATTTTCTTAGTAAAACTCTATGTGTTGTTATTTTTTAGGTTACATACCTAATGGTTTTCCTATTCGTTGTAAACTGAAACATATCCAAAGCCCCTCTATTCTATTCTACTTTGAAACAAATCCATAGTAGGATGTTTTGTTTATTTGCAAATGAAAAGAGAAGTATTACTTTCTTGGTTGTTGGCAAGTTTACTCAGCGGAATATACCGAGAGTGTATCCAAAAGGCACTCGTATTGCCACTAGTACAAAAACAGTGTATATTATCATGCGTCCAACGTCCAACCACTGAATAGCCAACGTTAAAAATGAGCGGTGACATTTTTGTAAATAAATGTAATTATTAAACGTCGTTTAGAATTGTAATTCGACGTAAAAAGGATATAAAACGCCGAATGCCCTTTAAATTCGACGTCAAAAGGTTAGTGAATTCAATAAAAATTTGAGCGGGAGATTGAAAATTCATTCACTTTATCTTAGCGCGCGATACCCTTCTCTTCTCAAACTTTTCTCGAATGAAGTTTGACGAGCATTACATGTAATCTTTTTTCCATTTGATAAATGCATGTTAATTAACTATTTTATGTATGATTTTTGTTTGTTTTAACCGATTATTTTCGTGTTCTTGTCCTTCATAAGCGCATTTTGTTTTCTCTCTCACTGGTGGCAACACTTTATTCCGATGAACCCACCTTTTTTGAAGGTTAGTTTTCGTTTTCGTTTTGAAGAACTTATTTGTTGAATTTGTTTGTTATTTTTTTTTGTTGAACTTGTTTGTTGTTGTTTCATTGAACTTGTTTGTTGTGGTTTGATTGAACTTGTTTGTTGTTGGTTATTATTGTTTGTTGTTGATACTAAACTACAAGTTCATAGTTCATGCTTTATAAAATACCAAAAACTGAAATTTGT